CATGACTTTTCACAGATGGCGCTGAAAGCCACAGAAAAAGCGGGTGTCTTCTTTATCTTGGGCAAATACAAGGAAGGCACATCTGATGCTAGCCCGCAAAGCTTATGACCGGATTGAAGGTTCGAGTAGGGGCTTCCTTGCGCTACAGTCTAGCATAGAGCTGCAAGGCAACTACACGGCTTGCATCAATCAACCCACTCCCACTACAGCCGAGCATGACGCTGTCGACTGTAGCTGCCCGGAACCGCTTTGACTTCTGGGTTGTCCCTAGGCAAAGGTATCCTCTTCTTGAGATCATGGAAATAGCAAGCGGAAGCGACGCAGCTGCAGATCTGGCATTCGAGTGACAGTTGTCAACTGCCAGTTTTTGCTTGCACTTCTGTCACGAACTAACAAAATTTCATTTGACAAATCCCACTTTAAAAGATAGGCATGGTGTGAAAGCTGTGCACATTCATCTGCTCCGAATTGCTCCAAAGCTGTCACAGCAGTTGGCGACTGTTATCCCGAACCTTGAAGAAAGAGTCCTCGAGCATCTTGGCCAAAGCTTGAAACCCTGAATTGATCGAAAGCTTTAACTTCATGCAAAGACACAGCAAAACATGCAAACTGTGACCCTGTGCTACACAGGCGATTATGGGTAAGGATTCCGAAGTAGTCAGCAATGGTAAATCCGACGAAGCTTCGTGCATAACGGCGTCATGTTGATGCGCACATCGCTCAAGCATGTAATCGCAATGGTCTATATTGAAAAGGGTCGCAAAATGCACAATCCTTTTTCCGCGAGGATTCATTCTTTGTGTGGCATACAAGTCTGCTCCATTTGGTGCAGAAACGAAGATCTTTCTGAGACGTCGTTGCCTGAGCGAGAGGAGGCTACCACGTAAGAACAACGCTGGCCATCCCTGCCAATCTCTCCAGAAAACAATTTACTTGGCTAAGGCCGCAGCCAAAGTCAACATTTTACATGGAAACATTGTCAGCAAGATTGTGTCTGTAGCGGACCCGAAGTGCACGCCTAGCGGAAGGAAATACTCCTGTAGGATATCCTGTAACCCAGGGCTGCTGGGCGGGGCCTCCCAGAAGTCGATCGTTGACAACTTGCTTTCCGTAGTACTCCAGCCTTAGAGGTGGAGCGGCAGACGCTGCAAAATATCACTAGCCAGACTGGCACCCATCAAAGAAAAACATGGCTGTCTTGGCTCCTGGCACTTTGTTCATGACCGGGAGGGTAAGCAAGGTCAAGACTGAAAGCGCAACAACATGCCTGGCAAGCATCGGCGCTGCAAGTCGATCAAGCATCTCTAACATGCGTCAAAAGTTGCTCCTGACTGCAGCATGCCAAATCTGCCGGCTCATTAAAACATATCAAAACTGCAAGGCTCCAACGCAATTGAATAACACGTGCATGACAGTGCGATTTGGCAGCGAACCGAAGGTGGAACCTCAAGGAACGCGTGTCAGGTCATGTGGACTAGGATCACATGAAAACACGTGCACTTCTTCTGCACGGCGTCTGACTCGGACTTATGTCCTTCTACTGAGCATTTGCGGCCACATGCTGCAGCAACAAATGCCACAAATGCCCGAGGTCCCGGCACGCATATGCACGCATCGCCTTCAAAAATCAACACGACAAATGGCTGATTGGTAGTGTAGCTGCTTTTGGCCACTCTCCAATTCTCAGGAATGGAAGGTCCTTCCTTAGGTCGACCTGAAGGGAAGCAAGCATTGCGAAACCTTCTCGGAAGTTGTGGCTGGAATGTTGCTTACAACCGAGATGTCTTCTGCTCCCAGATTGGAAATCCGCCGACCCCGCTCTGCGGGTCGAGCGCCGGGGAAGCCCTCTGTTCCAATTCTTGGGACCTTTAGGGAGTCAGGGGAGTTGTTGTGCAGGCAACGGGTTTTGGTGTTGCCA